GGCTGACTTGGCAGCCACTAACATGAACATTCTGATTTGACCACGTTTTGGAGAGCTTCCTTCCTTTTGTTGTTTTTTGTTTTTGCTTCCTCTCTGTTTTTCTGCTCTCTATTCTTCACTTTTTTGCTCCCAGTCACGTTTGATTTTTGCTGGTTGTATTTTGAGACTGCATTTTTGTTGAAAGAATACAAATTGTTAGTTTCATTTTCTTCTCCTTCTTCCTTGCATTTTCGTTTTCATTTCTGTTGAATGGAAAGCTAAAACCCTTGGGGTTTGCTCCTTGAGAAGATTATAATCTCTATTTGAGGTTTTATTCGTATATGTATCTGTGTTATTCTTTCTTCTTCTTCATTGAACCTCTACATTGAAACGTTTTTGACACCTGCTCATGCTTAATGAATCAGGTTGCTCACAAGTTGCTTAATCTAAGAGGTTGATGTTGTATACGTTTGCTTAATTCGTGTAGGGAAATCTTGAGTTAATCTTCGCTTAGTTGGTTAACTCGGATAGAACAAGGATTAAGTTATGAACAGAGAAATCTTTTGAGAACCAGGGATAAAAGAGTTGCAATCTGAACAAGGAGCCAATCCATTTTTCATTTGTTGTGCTACCTGCGTTTTATTTCATTTTATTTTGTTATAAACTAAAAAAATATGAACCAAACCCCCTCCCCCCACTTTGTGTGTTTAAGCCTTTGATAGAAAAAGATGGTCCTTGAGAGACAACCTAGGACAACTTCCTAGTATTGTATTTAATTATTTTATTTGACCGGATACGGCTTCGATCACAAAGTTTAGCTTACAAACTTCCACCAATCTTCAACCTCCCCACTCAACATGTAAGAGACGTACAAGACTTTATGTTCTTCATGACATCCCATAGCATTAAAAATTTTCTTTATCTCTGAAATCTATATTTGTGCTCCTTCAGGGTCAAAATTGCCCTTGAACCTTGGTGGGTTATGCCTTCTAAAAGCAGACAATCTTTTGTACTCTACAGATTCAACATCTCGATCTTGGACTAAACTCTCGAGCACGTGAGTCATCCGAACTAATAGTTCAACGGTTGTATTTCCTGGTCCTTCGACCATGATTCCTAAAAGTATTACATTAGTCTCGTAATGAAGTACAACTTAAGGGCATAACTATTCCTACTAATAACAACCAAACATACATTTCATAAAAAGATCAAGTCACACAAATCCGTACTCAAAATACTAAGTAGGTCATACAAACAAACAATCCTTTTATATTCCTATTAATATTTTTACAGGAATATAAGAACATACAACATGAATAATCACAACATAAGAAATAAATTCCCACACCACAGTTAAATTGTCAGAACTTACACTTTCCTAGTCTTATCATTTTGTTAAATATCCTAAGGTTTTTCCATATTCTAAATTTATTTTTTAGGTGAGAATAGAAAAATAAATTCATCTTAGAAGTCATTTTCTAAAAACAAGATAGTTGGAGCGTCAAACATCCAACGCTTGATCATAAGCGCTAAATTTCTCATAAATCAATTTTTCATAAAATAAAAGTGTGGACACACATTTTCACTTATTAAAACTATTTTAAGCTCCAAAAACAAATTTAAAATAAAATATTAATTCCCAAAAATATTAACATTTTCATGCTCCAAACAAATGGTCTCACAAAAGTGATCAAAATTTGTTTCACTTATTTCTTTTGCTAAAAAACTCTTTTTTGAATGATCTTTGAACTAAACCTAAGTATTCATACCCAATAAATCCATTTTTGATATAAAAAATTAAAATAACCAATATATCGATGCAGACTAAAACAACATTTTTTTTAAGATTAAAAGAAATTATAACAAGCAAGAATTCAACGGTTGAGATCAACTCCCTTTACCTCAAGGAAGCTTTTCTCAAGATGGAATGAAGAAAACAAGCTTTAGACAATTTTCCCTAAGGAGAACAAGCTTTAGGTAAGTCAAAAGAGAAATAGAAGAAGAAAATCAAGAAAGATGAAGTAGGAAGCTCAAACTAAGTGATTTACCTTGAGTTTGGCTAGAACAAGAAGAATAACTCTAGAGAAGAAGGAACAATGAATAAGATGAAGATAAAAAATTTTTCTCCCTCCCCTTGTAGTTGGGCGAAAGAATGAGAATAGAGAAGTGAGAGGATTCGACTTAAGTTTAAAGGAATAAAATAAGATTTGGATGAGGTTAAGTCAAATTATGAATAGTAATAATTTCTCTTTCTTTTCTATGTAAATTTTAAATTCTCTCTCTTCTATTTTAAATCCACAAAACTATAAAATAATTAAGAAAAAGAAAAAATAAAAAGAAAAAATAAAAAATAAAGAATAAATATAAAACACTTACTTTAAATTAATAGTTATAAGAAAATTTTGTTGGATGAATGGAGAAAAAGAATAAGAAAGGGTGGTGGTGGAAAGTGGAAAGAAATTACCTTCAATGCCAGAGTGAAAAATTCCAAATCCAAACCAATAAAGGTAATTGTTGAGAGGGGTGAGATCGTAGACATTTAACACCACACGTGTGGTGTTTTTGTTGTCATTGGCATTGTTATCAGATTTTGAGGTTGAATTGGAGTTGCTCTTCATCCCCATTTTTTCACAGAGATTGATGGATATGCCTTCCTCTCTATGAATTCCTGGGGAAACAACCTTGTGAATCCCAAAACACTAGGGATTAATTAAATTGATTGATTAATTATTTGTTATGAGATTCTCACCAATGAAATAACACATCACAATCTTAGACCAAAATCCGAGAAACCCGGATTTGGCTCTGTAATTCCTTCGTTATTTTTAAATTACAAAATTCAAAGTTAATGTTTGTTGTGCCAGGATGATCTGTCTTTCAGTTTTCACCTATGTAGATGCCACCTGATATTATCTGTCAAAATTTTACGGATTTTATTTTGTGAAAATATATTATCTTATTTAATTATAGTGATTAAAACATTTTTATTGACCGTTTATTCGATTTAAATTCATTGAATAAATTTTTAAATCATTAAATAGATTTGAACTTAATATAATACTAAGATATAAAAATATTTGTTACATATTTTAAAATTTTTAAAAATTTAAAGTATAATTAGTACTGTATTCACGTGCTTATTATCTATAATTATAATTATAATAACCTATATTATTAATAAATGCAATACATTTCTTTTTTCTGATGAACACGTTTTGTTGATATTTTGTCCTTGAGCGACCAAAACGCACTCTTCTCTCATGTTTTTTATTTAGATTTTTTTTCTACATCTTTGTAAATTTATTTTTCAAATATCTAACACCCTATAAAGAACTAGTCAAAATTGTTCAAAGATTCTAATTGTTAATTACTCGCACATATTTAATATTAATTATTATTATTATTATTAGAGGAGGCTTCAAACAACATTGATGTAACTTTTACTAAATATTACACTGCTTAATAACTTTATATTAAATTTGAATTTTGTAAATCCAACCATTGAATTATAACTTTATATCACTTTATATGTTTATATCAAATTTTGTTAAAATTGAACAACAACTTGAAGGTAATCAAAATATTCATATTTTATTATATTTTGAAATGTATATATTACGTCAATTTTGTTTTATAAGAATAAAGTATCAAATCATCTTGAACTAATATAAAATTTTGTATATATGATCTAAGAATAAAGAACTTTCAATTTAACAGTTAGATTTATAAAATTCACATTTAATATAAAATTATTGAGTAGTGTAATACTTAGTAAAAGTTATACCAGTATCGTTTGAACCCTCCTATATATATATTATCAAGATTTAAATATATTTTTATTCTCTTAATTTTAAAATTGTTGTTTTTACATTCTGTAAATTTCAAAAATTTTGTTTTAGTCTCTCAAGTCAATTATATATATAAAAGTGACAAATTGAGATAATAATGTAATTTTAACTAGGTTTAATGTGATCTTTTTACTGATAAAGACACTAGTAGATAGATTTTAGGCGGCAATATTTGATAAATTCTCTAACAAAATTTGAGTATACAAATTGAAACAAGATTTTTTGAAATTACAAGAATAAAAAGACCAATTTTCAATTTGAGGGACTAAAAATAAATTTACCTTAAATTTGATATATTAAAAACATATTTAAGCCCATTATAAATTTATAATAATGTACTCATACTTGCCATGTTAAAAACTAAGTGTTCCCACTCTTTTCTATATTTTTATTTTGTTTAAAAAGTCAAAGTTAATATATTAAGTTTTTGAAGTATTTCTTCACAGTATATATAATACTCTATCTCGTAATAAGAGTCATGTTTGAAGAAAAAATAAATCTTAAAATAAGTGTCATGCTTTAAAATCCTAATCCAATACACCCCCCTAAATTTTAATTCTAATTGAAAGTATATTCTTTCAAATCATAATTAATATTTCTCATAAAAATATTTAAATCTCATACTAAAAAAAATAATTCTCAATAATAAAATAATATACTTATATGTAAATTAGTTTAAATCATACATATAAACATAACAATCAAATTCACCTATCAAATAAATCAAATACTTTAATGAAATTGAGAACATAGTAATTATAAATTAAATAAAATCAAACATTAAAACTATAGTGTTACACACCATACATCACTTGGTAGATCAGAAAGGTACAGTTAAATGTTTAAAATTTTTGTAATATGGTTTAAAAAGAAAAAAACATAAAGTCGGAGATCTGGACCACCTTAGGATATGGGATCTTCCACCAATGGAATCGTGCATCGTCCTCTGACACACGCCGCTACTGTTGTCGCAGATCCTCGTCAACGACACGTGGCCGATCACATATCCAACACTCTTTTACATCTAACGGTTCTTGCTCACCCTCGAATAGACTTACATTGACATGACAACATTTAATTTAGCCCACAATACCTTCAATAAAATAAAAAAAATAATAAGAAGAAAAATTCAAGTGGTGTGTGTTTTAATTTTTTTTAATATAATAATTTATTATTCATACGGAATAAGGGGAAAAAAGATTAAAAACAAGGACGAGACGAAGAACACAACATAGCTTCGGACTTTTTTTTTGCTCTCTGGAGTTACAACACAACCAAAGAGGTTTGTGTCTGTAAAACTTGAATCCTCGTCCTTTCAATTTGTTTTGGGGGTCCAATCTGATGGTCCTTTCTGTATTATTATTATTATTATTATTTATTTTTTAAAAGAATTAATTTATGGCTTTGAGTTTTTCTGTGTTCTGCTTATGAGTTGTGGCTGGTGAGTTGCATATAGTGGAATGTGGATATATGGATTTCATTTTTATTTATGATTCTCATTTATATAATCTTTATTGAGATTTACTGTCAAATTTTATTTTATCTCCATTTCTTTTGGGGATTTCTGGCTTTTCTTTGGGGGTGTTTGTTGGGCTGTGTAAACAAAATTGACCTAGTTCTGACATTGAGGTCATTGAATAAATATGCATATACTTACATTAATGTGGTTTGTTTTTGTCTAATAAGAGGGATTTATGTTAAAATCCCTAGAACACTTGGGGCTGTCTTCTTTTAACAAATTTTAAGCAACAAATTTATCTCATGTTGGTTTATTTTTTGAACAAATGTTCTCCAATACTTTTTTTTTTTTTTTGGCTTAATGTCTCAGTTAACTAAGAAAGTCAACCTACCCAATAGTTCAGGTACCCTCCTCTTCCGTTTTCCCAATCATGGTGACACCTGTATTTCTTTTGTTGCTTGAGTTTCATTTTGCTGGTTTTGGAAATGGGTTCCTGTCTCCTTCCTTCCTTTTCAATTATTTTAAATGGAACAGAACTCCTATAAGCTCCCATATTTTTCAAACGTATTATGGTTTTTTAAAGTTGATATTCATCATTGTTGTAATTTTAATGTTATAGAAAGCTGGATAATGCAATCAGTTTTTTATTTGGTTCCACATGTTTGGTTGTCATATGCTTTTTTTTTTATTTTTAATATTTTTTATTTTATAATATATTTTTTTATATTTTTATATTTTTAATTTGTTTACCTTTATTTCTTGAGTTCACAGCTTCTGCTGTGAATTAAAATACTTAAGAATGGAGTTTCTATTTGTTTTCATGATTAGATGTCAGATCTTCATTTACTCTGGACATGTTATCATTACAGGTCTGGTCCACTTAACTGAATTTTTAGGTATTGATTTCCAATTTTCTATGTTTGCTTATTGCAGCTATAGAACTATTCAATAGGTGGTATTTTTAGAGGTTAAAATGAGCTTTGCTGCGCCATCACTTGGTTCTGCTGGTAAGTTTTTTCCTCTTCAGTCAGCACCTCTTTCTGGATTGTGCCTACTATACTTCAGGGTGTAGTTTATCCCATGTGGTGGTCTGGGAGGAAGTATCTAGGCTTTTTTTGGGATGGATGATTGATGTTAACTACCATTGGATATTATGAAGGAAAATCGATGTCTCAATTCGTTCTTTTTGTGATCATTCTCCATTTACTTTATTATGGCTTCATTTTAGGTGGTAGATCTGCTAGAAGAGCATTTGAGTTTGGAAGAACGTATGTTGTCAGGCCTAAAGGTAAACACCAAGCAACAATAGTCTGGTTGCATGGCCTCGGGGATAATGGCTCCAGGTGACATGAAATTTCCTATTACTCTTTCCCAAATTTATATAACTGAAAATTCATTTGTGGTTTGGAGACATGTTTCAATGCTCTTTTATTTTCCAGGTATTATTTATAATTACTCTTGTGAATTGTTGCCTAAGATAGCTATGAATTGAAGGAGCAATGTCATAATTTTGTCTTTTTTACTTTTTAACTGCTTTTACTGGTTCAGTTGCTTTTTCAATTTTTAAACCCTTTCATTCAATTCTAATTGTCTTTCATTGAGAACTGTTGTATGTCTAAGTTTAAAACCAAATTTCAGGGATATTATTCACAAAGAGATTCCTTTTATAATGTTTTCCAATGTCCTTTGTACATATCCTACATGAATCATACGCTGCCATTGGTCAGTGTAAAACCAAATCATGAGATGTACTCTTGTCACTGATGCTTCTAGTGACCTTTGTACATATCCTAACCACCATAACTGATTTTTAATATTTTGTCATCTTTATCCTCATAGATACAATCATTTCATATTCTGTCCTTTTTCATGTGGCTACCCATGCATCTTAATACTCTCTTGTTACCCTTTTAAAACTTATCATTCGCTATCATATAGTATAGTTAGTCATATAGTAGTATGATAAAACTTCCTTCAGTTTGATAGGTACTTTGCACTCAGAAATAACCTTGATGCCTTTTTTTTTTCATTGTAAATCACTCAGTTTGTATGGTGTGTGTGACATCTTCATTAATTTCACAATCATTTTGTAATATTGATCCTAAATACTTCAACTTCGAAACATGTGTGATGACATCTTCAACTTTTGGGTATCTTTTCTAAGCTTTACTTGAAGTCTGGGTATCATCAAGTTCAAATGAAAGCAAGAGAAGTATACAAAACTACTTTTAAAACTCATGCAGGCCATTTTGAGTACCTTGTGATGTCATTTGGGCTCACCAATGCACCTGCCACTTTTCAAGCTCTTATGAACCACATCTTTCATCCTTATTTGTGAAGGCTTGTCACAATTTTCTTTGATGACATTTTGATTTACAGCCCCACTGTCAAGGATCATGTTTCTCATCTACAATTGGTATTTAAAACTATCGGGACCATAAGCTCTTTGTCAATAGGGAAAAGTGCAATTTTGCTGCTGCAAGAGTGGAATTCCTTGACCACTTTATCACTAAGGATGGAGTTTCTACTGGTCCTGCCAAGATTTCAGTAGTGGTAGATTGGCCACAACCTCAAAACCTTAAACTCTTGAAAGCTTTTCTGGGGTTAGTTGGCTGTTATCAAAGATTTGTTTCTAATTTTGGCAAAATTGCCAAGCCTCTAACTGACATGCTTAAGAAGGAAGGATTTACTTGGTCTAAGGAGTCACTTGAGGCTTTCCAAATTGATACAATCCTATCCATGGAAAGAAGAATTACGATTGTTTTCGACAAATGCATCCAGGGAAATCTCTTACACCTTTCTTAAACATGGTATTGATGGTGGTTTGTGTGCTAATTACTCTCTTCTTAAAAATATTTATAGGATTGTCAGTGTCAAAACTCAAAATTGCTTCATTCCCTCTTCTTTTATCACTAGCTTCTGCACTTTCCTCCTCTTTATTAAGGCTTAATTTTTTGATCAAATTTTGTTTGTTGCAAACCAACAACAATTTCCCACATTTCCTTCTTCACTTCATCGCTAACAACCTTGCAGGCTCCAACATCCTTGTGAGTGCCAGCCAAGTGATGCTTCAACCGGTAAACTCCCCCTGTTATTACCTTCTGACAGTATTTGCATTGAAGTTTCCTAGTATCCCCACCGACTAAAATACAATGCTTCCAAGCTATATCATTCCTATTTCCAGGAGCATTTTTGGGAGCAACTGCTACAGAGGAGTTTGGAACTGGATTTGAAGTCATTTTAATGATTGTGTGTGGAACAACAATATGATAGAGTTGAGATGAGAATCAGAGCAAGTGGAATTGCAGAAATAAAGCAAAAGAGTTACAATTTATAGAAGACTCTTTAAAAAAAAATAAAAGAGATGGATGGCATAAATAAGAGAAACGTACAAGTGAAGGTGTAGGCTTACAGCAGAAACCTGCAGGCTTGCAGCAACAGAATCACAAAGATGAAAGGAGAGTGCTGTAACTTTTTGGGAAGAGAGATTGCAGCAAACAAAATTGTATTTTGAGCAATTTGGAAGCAAACAAGGAATGCGGGAATGAGCTTTTCATAGCCAACACAAACAGAGAACGAGAAAGATGGAATGTAATCCAAGTGTGATTGGAAGTAATTAAATAGGTTTAGAAATGTAATTAGGAGTGATAATTTTTTGTTTATTCGTAAAGGAAGAGCGG